AATAAATCTCTGAAAGAACCAAAATGCAGGATTGATTTTGAAGCATGTGACTCAGTGATCAATAAATCAATTCAATTCAAATAACTTTATTTGTCCTCTACGGGCAATTCAAAAAAATATTAGAAGAAAGAAAGAAAATTAGAAGAATTACAGCAGCCACTGGAAAATCAACCGTGATGGTATTTACATGTGGATGTAAACGTTTGTTCGTCACGGTACATATTCTGGAACGTTAAGTCATGATAAGTGGGTTGTGTGTCGCTGATGGTCTTCAGAACTTCATTTAGGACGTTGCTGTAGTTTCTGGTTCCTAACGTCAAACTTTCACTTCAGTGGACGAGACAGAAAAAGTCTGATGAACCTCCAACCTTTTATGTTGTAAGCATCTGATCAGTTGGTGTCTCTGCTTGTTTCCAGGCTGGTTCTTTGGAAATGAAGCTGTGTCTTCTGCTGCTGTGCGTCTGCCGCCTGGGACTGACGGTAAGAACAACCTCCGTCTAGTAAACCACTTTTTTGAGCTCTGAAGGGAAATTATTGACTTTATCTGAAACCCAACTGTGTGTCCTCGTGTCTCCAGGAGGAGCCCAGTACGGCAGCTCCTCATGTCTCCGGCACCGTGGATGAAGACGAGGACGACTCGGCTCACGGCTGCGGAGGGACGTTCAGCCCAAAGCAGCACCGGGCGATAGGGGGCGCCGTCGAGCGGCTGGGTTTACAGCTCCTGGAAAACCTTCCCGTCAGCCCACAGCAGCCCAACGTCATCCTGTCGCCTCTCAGCCTGGCTCTGGCCCTCGCTCAGCTCACCTTAGGTTGGTCCCAGTTCAGTGTTCAGCAGCTTCAGGGTCACATGACTCGGCTGCTTTACTGTTGGTTCATCCATGAAGGGACGATAAGAGGATGTCCTGTTATGGTGACGTGGGAATCGCTTAATGAAAACAATGACAATCTGAAAAACACAGAATGTCTGCCCTGATAATCAACCAGGCTGATACTCAATCGATCAACAAAGACTTCTGGCGATGAAATCTGACCACAAGTGGACAAACCACACGAGCTCTGGTTGTCACCGAGTGTTTCAGAAGTCTAAACTCCCACAATGCTCTCTGCTGCCCACATGAACTGTTGTCTGAGTTCCTCTAATCACTATTGTATTTAAGAACAAGAGGCTCCACCTGGTGGAACAACCTGGTACAACAACTAACATATTTTCAGACACATATTACATATGCTATATTTTTAATTTATAAATTAATGATAGAAATTCATTAACAAATTGTAAATCATTACCACCCCTACTTACATACAAACTGTTGGACACCTGCCTCTTCTGTCTCTTCTTATCTCGTGATTCTTTGATGTGTGCAGCTTCAGCCTGACAATCTGTTTACTAGAAGAAGATAAGTCATTCACGGTCGGCCATATTGACTGTTTGTGTCGCGATTCATGGAATACTGTGAGCTCAGAATTAAGAACACTGAACTCCTGACGTGAACTAAATCCCTCCTGTGATGCTATGACCACATGCTAACATGCTAACATGCTAATACCAGACAAACGATCCAGATGAAAGCCTGTTTGTGTTCGGAGGATTTAAGGATCAGATTTTTCTCTCAGGCGCTCGTAACGAGACGGAGAAGCTGCTGCTGCAGAGCCTTCACGCCTTCAGGCTGCCGTGCTACCACCACATCCTGGGAAGCCTGGTGCCTCATTTCAGCCACACGTCTGTGGAGGTGGCGGCACGAATGTACCTGAGACCAGGTAGGACGCGATGAACTAGTGTCGGGTTACTGCACGACTGCATAAATCTGATCCTATGTTTTCTCTCTCCTTCACCGCCTCAGGATTCGAAGTGAAGCTATCCTTTGTGGAGGACTCTCTGGCCAGGTAGGATGACGTAAACACGACATTCATGTTTCACGTAGAGGTTTCAGATGACTCACACACACTTGAAGCATCGGTTCTGATGTTAGAATTTGGTTCTATAGGAAAAAGTTGCAGGGGAGGAATAAATGATTGTCAAAGTGCATTTCAGCAGATACAGTCTTCCCTAAAGTGAACCAAATAACTTGTTGGTGAACTCAAACCATAACTAGCATCATGGAGCGCCAGCTGAACTCCACCTGCAGCCTCACCGTCCTAAATTAATCCTAAATTAATCCTAAATCAACAGAAACAGCTTGCAGTCGCAGAATATTAAATCATCATTGCTTAAAATGACAAAAACTTGTCTAAAATGGCTCAATTTTCTTTTTCAAAATGACCAAAAATTTGTTTAAAATAAGCTAAAACTTATCCAACACTCACATGTTGCACAAAATCCCTCCAAATTGGTTCAAAATAAGCCTGAAATTGCTCAAAACGACCCATAAAGTTCTCCAAACATCCCCTGAATGTTCAAATGTTGCATCTTAGCGCACATTTAACTTCACAGAAACATTTTTAAAATATTCTTAAAATGTTTTCAGATTATTCGGCAGAGTGCTAGTGATGTTTTCAGCAGGAAGTTTCTGTTTTTAGTTCCCAAACGGTTTGTCAACGTTTGGCTACAATATTGACAGAATGTTCCCCTTTTAATAATCGCTTTGAGAACAGGATCCTCCAAACATCTCTACATGTAAGAACATTTTGTGTCGTTCATTTATAACCTAACAGAAACATTTAAAAATGATAAACATCCTTAAAATGTTCTTTAAACATTAGAACTTGCAGATAATGTTGTCGGAACATTTATTTGTTGTTTTGTATTTACACAGTAAACCAACATAGACAGCTGCTCGGCTGTAGGGAGTATAAGAACAGTGACAGCTGAAATGTGGGACATGCTGTTAGCCTGTTAGCCTCGATAGCTCAGCGGTCTGTGTTTACGTCTCGACCCAAACCGTTCCCCGTCTCCTCCTGCTTCTGACCACACCACATAAACACTTTTCACCAGGTGGGTTTCTGTCTATCTAAGTGCATCTGGAGGCAGGAAGATTACAGGCGGGTAACCACGGCTGGTAAACAGGCTGGAGGCTGAGGAGCTGGTTGGTAAATGGGGAACAGATGTGGAGATGAAAACACTCCAGACGTCCTGATCTGACCTCAGATCAGGGCCGATCAAGGCCGATCAAGGGTATCTGAATGAACCTCAGCTGGATCCTTTGTTTACATTCGCTGTCACACAGGAAGACATTAAGGGTGCACATGTTGATTAGTTTTCTTAATCTGTAGAATTGTCAATAAGCAATCGAACAACTGAAAACACAAATTGAACACAGTGGACATAAGTTGGGTGCTGATGTTGCTACTTTAGTCACCAAGACATGATTTGGGCGGC